TCTCTTCATCTTCTTGTTTTTCTACGTCCTCGTCTTTGTCTTCGTTCTTGTTTTCATCTTCGTCCTTGTCTTTGTCTTTGTCTTCTTCTTCGCTTTCATATTCGTCTTCTTCTTTTTCGTCTTCTTCTTTTTCTTCATCTTTGTCTTCGTCTCCGTCTTCTTCTTCGTCTTCTTTTTCTTCTTCTTTTTCTTCTTCTTTTTCTTCTTCTTTTTCTTCATCATCATCATCTTCTTCTTCTTCGTCTTAGCCTTCGTCTCCGTCTTCTTCTTTGTCTTCGCCTTCGTCTCCGTCTTCTTCTTCGCCTTCTTCTTCTTCATCTTCATCATCATCATCATCTTCTTCTTCTTCATCTTCGTCTTCGTCTTCCTCTCTGTCTTCTTCTTCTTCTTCTTCATCTTCTTCATCTTCTTTTTCTTCTTCTTCTTCTTCTTCTTCTTCGTCTTTGTCTTCGTCTTCTTCTTCTTCTTCTTCTTTTTCTCCGTATTCGTCGCAGACTTCGTCAACAGCACAAACGCTTCGCTTCGAAAGTGGACTAACAACCAGAATTGAACAACTGCTTTGACCTCATCTTTGCGACCCGCTCGTGCCGCCATGACAGTGTTGTAGTCGTGCCAGTTTCCGGCGCTGCCTCGTGGACCCGATACCATCGCGGACGGCATCTTCAGTCTCTTGGCTTCGTGACACTCTACCGTCGTCTGTCACGCCAGTTGTAAGCTTGTGGCACGATCGGTGGAACAGTGACTTGCGCACTTCGTCAAAGGGTCAAAGTTCATGCGTGAAAAGGGCGTCTCCGGACTGGCGCCAGATCTGATGCGCGAGGTGCATCCACCCGATTCCGCTTTGGGTTTCGCATTTTCTGTCACCATCCCACTCGAAATGGGGACCCTCGACCAACAGTCTCCTTCACCGGATCCCAACAAATAGCTCTTGCATTACATCTCATCGGACCAATCAAAGTTGGTCTGCAGCCTGCGCAAGTGCGCTCGTTCCGTCACTCAACATTGTGTAGATGTTGTA